GGGGAGATTTTATTGGTAACCCTCTACTCCTTGGTATCCAAGGGGAGATTTTATTGGTAACCCTCTACTCCTTGGTATCCAAGGGGAGATTTTATTGGTAACCCTATACTCCTTGGTATCCAAGGGGAGATTTTATTGGTAACCCTCTACTCCGTGGTATCCAAGGGGAGATTTTATTGGTAACCCTCTACTCCCTGGTATCCAAGGGGAGATTTTATTGGTAACCCTCTACTCCCTGGTGTACAGGAGCTTTCACGGCAGTCATTTCAGGTCGCTATTCTTCGTACATTTTAAAGAAGAGAAAATAAAACATGGGCAAAAACACCTAAATAAACATTTTTCCAAAAAAAAAAAAAGTTGTACAAGTAGCCATCAATTGAAGACCTCCATCTTCAGTTATGGAGGAGGAGAAGACCTCAAGCACAAGACACGCCTTCTCATACCGTCAGGATGCCTAGCAGATGGTGACTCTCAGTGTGACCAGGTGCTCACTGCTGCCACCAGTGTCCACCATGCAGGAGAGTGCCCTATCACATGTGCTAGCCTGTGTCTTCTACTGAGTGTTATCACTTTTGCACTATTGTAAAGGAATTTGAAGTTCAATCCTCTCAAGTGAAGCTTCTGGTCAGTTGTTAAAACTTGAAACCATTGTGTACGTTGTGGTGGCATCATGAATGCGTCGTGAGACAGCAAACTGTTGACAGCTGTGGACGTGAGCTACTGCTCAGCCTGCTGCCGTCAGCTCTGCAGTTAGCACTGCAGAAGGGAGAAGATGGCCTCCAAGCAACTGTACTTCAGATGTCCTCAGTTTACACTAAAGCTACCTTACACTGTATAAAACTTTCTGCTTTACTCTCTCAACTCCACACAGCAGGGCAAATAAAAAGACATGTAGGGACCACCTGTTCATTTTCTCATTAGGCTTCTCTCCCCTACTTCCTGGAAGAGACTTGATTTGACTTTATGTCTTTATATTTCTATTAACCTAATGCCAGGACACCTGTAGTTATATAGTGTATGATATTTGTAAGCGTTTTCTAGAATATTAGCTAAAAAGTAAGAACTTTGTCTCAAAGAGAGTTCACAGTGAACACTGATTCAGATTTTCTGTGTTCTCCAAATAAAAGGCCCCAATCTGTTTTCACAGCATTTGGGATACTGGGCCTTTGATCTTATGGTCCAACTGTGTATGCCTGGCACTTCAGAATTTAATATTCTGTAACACTTTTTACTTGTCTGTGGCAGATCAGTGGTTTGTTACTGGAAGGATGCAGCTTTGACGGCAATCACCTTTCAGAAAACCAGCATGATTCTCCCAGTGTGTCGACAGTTCTCCCTTGCTTTATGGGCTGGACTCCACAGGTGAGTGTCTGGATAGACAGCTTCTAATATCATCTGTTCACTCTTGGATTTTACTTTTCCATAAGATAGTCATAGCTTGTGTTTTTGATTTGCTCTCCCATTTTACCTGTACTTAACAAATTTGTAGTTAATGCATTTTGAAGAGGTAAAGATTTTTAAACCATTTTGTTTTGGAATCAGTTTTCTAAAAAGTGTGTGTAATTAGAGCAAACTCCTGAGCTTCAGAATAGGGTCACAGTGTGGCGTGAGTCTCCCTCTGCAGGCCCCTTAGACCAGGGCGTGGTTTCATGGTTACATGGCTCCAGGTAAGTAATGTGAACCACATAGGTCAAGGCCTTCCCGCTGTCCAGCACTGTAAGTAGCCAGGTGTGCGGTTGGAATGTGGTGTGGCTGCTGCTGTTGTGGATATTTGAACTGTGAAACTTGGATCACGGGATGGAGCCATAGAGAGGGCAGAGGAGTCAGGAATACTGATAGAGAGGTGCACAGGAAGGAGTAGGAGGGACTTGGAGATTCATGGTTCTTTTGGCTTGGGACGAGTAGAAAGACGCTTCTCTTGCTGGGTCAGCCAAAAAGGAAGGTCAGCTGGTTGCTTCTTGGCTTCTCTGATCTAGCAGGTTTTGACCCCAATATTTGACTCTCGAGTCTTTATTGGTAAATAGAACAACTTAGATAAAAACAATAGGCTGCCAGTTGGTGGTGGTGCTGGGATCAGGAGATGTGGCCTGGGTGGAGGAAGCAGTCACTGGAGTGGGCTGGAGGTTTAAACGCGATATGTCAGTCTCAGTTTGCATTCCATCTTCCTACGATAGTTCCAAGTGTTAACTTCTCGGCTTCCGTGTCTTACATTCACCATGTCTCCATTCTGCCACCATAGGCTTTTACTGTGGAACCAGCAGCCCAAATACAGCCTTCCTTCTATAAATATCCTGGGTCATAGTTTTTGTTTGTTTATTTGTCTGAATTCCACAGTGTCTGACAACCAAACACCCTGAGACTTTGTTCTAATGGATGGATCGTGGCTGCTAATCCAGTCACTGTACAGCATCTCGGGTCCCCAGCAGTTCACTGTTAAAGGCAAGTCTGCCAGTTGTGTGTGATGGAGGAGTAGCCAGTCATCATCAGGCTTGCTGTGTGATCGCTGCTGCCCAAGCATGTTACAGTTCTGAAGGAAAGGGGCAAAGTAAATGCGTTGACTTTCTATCATAACTAAGGAAAACTTAAACTATAATTATCTAGTCTTTAACTCCAAGAATCCCAGAAGGATATATTACCTGAGTAAACAGGAAGTACATTGTAAGCAAATTCCAAAAGTCTAGAAATGACAGAGACATCTGACTGCCTGAACAGTTACCCAAACGTGATGTTGGAACATCCATCTTTAGCCTAGGCCTAGAGTGTCTGGAAGATTTCAATGAAGCAGGAATGCTGAAAGGCTGTTCTGCCTTCTATTGGCAAAGTTTGTCCATGTCTGTCCTATTGACTGAAGTTTCTGTCCCGCCTGGTCCCTACAGTCATTAAGTCCCAAAAAAATCACACAGAAGTCTACATTAGTTATAAACTGATTGGCCCAGTATCTCAGGCTTCTTATTAACTCTTACAACTTATATTAGCCCATTATTCTTATCTGTGTTAGCCACATGGCTCAGCACTTTATTAGGCAGGAATTCACATCTTGCTTCTTCTGTGGCTGGGCCAGGGCTGCTAGCAGAATTCTCTTCCCAGAATTCTCCTGTTCTCATTGACCCACCTCTACTTCCTGCCTGGTCACCCTTCCTATTCTTCCTGCCTGGCTACTAGCCAATCAGCATTTATTTAAAATATAATTAACAGAATACAGACCAATGTCTCACACCACTTCACCCTCTTTTTTTAATAAAAAAAAAAACCCAAGAACTCTGAATCTAATATCCTTTGTTTAGCTTTCTCTTGACCATTGGCTATAACAACTTGTAACCAACATTTTAAACAAAGTAAAATATACATAGTCCATTTTTTGAGAACGTGGGCATAGTTTTTCAGGCTACTTCCTGCTGGTTGTGGGCACTGATAATCTTATGGGGACCTAAAGAAACTTTAGAATTATGATCAAGTCATGACTAGAGTAATCTCAGGCAGCAGTCTTGAATCTGTTCTGGATGTAGAACTCTGACATCTGGGCCATCTGTTCCTACCAGAGATTTCTCAGGTGGTCTTCCTTGATCAAACCTGATTTTTCTTAACTCAGAATAAATCCATAACCTCTCATTTTCTATGGAAACAAAAGCAAAACCTCTTCTCCAAAGTAACATACCATTTGACTTCAACTTTGAAGTCAAGGTATTCTCAAAATACCTATCTTGGATTAAATCAGCAGCATTTATAAGCAAATATTTTTTAGCAGCTGTTGCTCCTTCCTCGGCATCCAAACAATTCAAAGAGAGCATAATAACACACAGTATCTAGACTCTCTGTGTATTTTTCATCTTTCAGTGGCTTTATTTTAACCTCTATTTCTTTTATTTTAAATTTAATTTTGGGCTTTTTGAGACAGGTTCTCTGTGTATCATTGGCCATCCTGGGACTCCTTCTGTAGACCAGGCTGTCCTTGAACTCACAGAGATCTGCCTGCCTCTGTCTTCCAAGTGTTGGGATTAAAGGTGTGTGCTACCACACCCAACTTCTCTCTCTCTCTCTCTCTCTCTCTCTCTCTCTCTCTCGACTAACCTACTAACCTTTTTCTTTTCTTTCCCAAGCCTGTAACACACTGTAAAACATTTAGAGATTTTCTTCATCTTTGAATTTCTCTTTACTGTATATCTCTCTTTTTCTGACCATGTGAGTCTTTAATTTGCTAAGCAATATGGAGAGGATTAAAGCCATGCCTTTGACAGCTGGATCCAGCCCATTTCTTAGCTTTCTGAGATTTCAGCCTCATGGTGGAAGTACCGGCTGTAGCCATATTTATTGCCACAACTCTATGGCACCTGAGAAAATGCTGAAGCCATGCTTAATTCTATTCTTTTCTGTCTAGAATAACTTCCTAAACTCTCAGGCTTTTAAGTAGATTTGGTCATCCCCACGTTGGCACGCCATTCTGTCCTCTACATCCTGCAGAACGTCTGGCAGATTTTTCAGTGAAGTAAGACTTTTGAAGGACTGTCCTGCCTTGTTTTGGCCAAGTTTGACAGTCTTTTTCCTATGTGTCCTGCATGTCCAGCCTACACAGCACATTGTCAGCTGTCAAAGGCAAGAGCAGTTTCTTTGCCCAGTGGCTAACCTTACCACAATGAAAGCAAACTTCATAAAGAGTTTCTTCAATGCCCATTATTTCTGAAGCAAATTGGAGCAGACGTGTCTCACTGTCACTAAAAGCCTTAGGTTAAGAAAACATTTTTAAATGAACAATACCCGAAACAACAGCAGAAGCATATATACAATATGTTGTAACAAAAATAACTTTAAACTGGTATCAGTATACAAAATTCCTTTAAACAAGAGTAGAAGCATATATGCAGTGTGCAAAAATGACCTTAAATTTACTCAGTTTACAAAAGTCCATACCAATATAAAATATTTGAAATTAATAGTTGGTTTTTAGTTTAAATATATTCAATAATCTACCCTTTTATCTTATCATTCATGTATTCCTATATTCCCCTAAATATAACAAGCATCCATGACCCACCAAATAACCCAAAGCCTCCCACAACCCAACTTTTTGGAATGTGGATGTTGTTTCTCTAGACTGCTGGCTGGGTGGCTGACTCCTAGCATCCTCCTTGTTCCTTCTTGCTCCCTCCTCCTCAGAGTTCTCTTATTTATTCTTTATGCCTGCTAGACACGCTTATCCTTTTTTTCTACCTAGCTATGGCTGTTCAGCTCTTCATTAAACTATTTGGTATTTTAGACAGGCAGGGAATCACAGCTTCACAGGTTAAAGAAATGCAGCATAAATAAAAACAATGCACTATTAATCATTAAACAAATGTTCCGGAGTATAAACAAATGTAACACACCTTAAAATAATATTCCACAGCAGCAAACTGTTCCCATAAGCACATTTAATAAACACAATATTCTTTCCCCTCTGGAAATTTTTTGCATTAAAAGTACTGGCAGGGGCTGGAAGATGGCTCAATAAGTGAAGTGCTTTCTCTGCAAGCATGAGGACCTAGGTATGGATCCCCTGCCCCACATAAAAAGCTACGCACAGCAGTGCACACCTGTAATCCCAGCACTGAGGAGGCAGAGTGACTGGGGCTTGCTGGCCAGCTGATGGAGCCCAGTGTCTGAGCTTCAGGCTTAGTGAGAGATATCCAAGAATAAGGTGGAGAGCAACTGACACTTTCAACCTCTCATTTGCACACAGAAAAGGAGGTACAAAGCCTGAGGGGTTGCTGCACAAAGTTTTCCCGAACCTATATGCAGCACTTTGTCAGGATCTCATATTTCGTAGAATACATGTGGATGTAGCCACCTGCTGTGTCTCAGCGTCAGACGACTCCCCTTCTGGCCCTGCACAGGAAGTCAGCTTGCTGTCCATCCTTGTGTTTCTCTAGGAACAGTGCCACATAGAGCTTACCAGCAAATGTAACTTAGTAGCCTGGACTCCAGCCAAGGGCCTCAAACTCTAGGAGGTACCAAATTTGACTACTGAACAATACATCTGTAAAACAAATTCAAGAGCCATTCTGAAAGTAGTCATTATTTTATATTACTTGTATAGATTCAAATATACATATTAGAGGCTATCGCTGGGTTCTTTGCCTTGTATACACCAGTGTAAAATAACAAAACTCAGTTTCTTTTTCTGACTTACATTTTTCTTCAAGTCTGTAAACAGTCCTGGTCACATTGTTGAAAACACAAGTTAGGGATCTCCCCCGCTCTCTTTCAAATCTGCTGTAACTTCTCACAGAACAATGCTTCTGAGCACTCAGTGTCGAGTTCTTTCGCTAGATTCACACTGAATTGTGAATCTAATTTAGACACACACGGTAAAACTCCAGCTTTCTCATGTTCTTTCTAAAATAAGAAAGCAGCACTGTTGGTGCGTGTGATCCAGGAAATATGCATGGTGCAGATAACTTGGATAAGCATACACTGATGAAAATATTTTGGTTTGAATTCATATATACTGAAGGAGACCCCCCCACCAAATGGGGGCTTTCTCCCAGACTCCAGATTAGGCACACAGCACCCCAAAAACCCCTGTTTTCACAGAGAAATTTTATTAAGTGGGGAAGAAGAGTCAGAGTGGCTGCTTTCTGACTCAGGCAGGACAGGGAACTGCAGCAAATGACCTTGCAGGTATAATTTTTAAGAGGAGGAAAAAGGGAGGTCTGTGTTAAAATGGGCTACAATGTAGTGGTATATTTTGTTTGGGCATGTTAATTAGGTGAACCAAAGGGTGCTTTTGATTGCTTGACTTTAATATTTTGATAGCTGGACCTTGGTAGTCAGCCTCAGGAGGAGGAAGTGGCCAGATAAGGGAATAGATCTTGATGAATAGCTTTAGGAATGTAATCTAATGGATTTTTTTTTGTTGTTGTTGTTTGTTTTCTGTTTTTGTTTGTTGACTTTTGAGATGTGATTTCTCTGTGTAACAGTGCTGGCTGTACTGGAACTCACAGAGATCTGCCTGCCTCTGCCTCCCGAGTGCTGGGATCAAAGGTGTGCACCGTACTGCCTGGCCTTGGGCAAGATTTTAAAAGATCTGTGACTGGCTGTGAGATCCAGTGTATTCTAGTGACTGCTGTGAGAGCCAGTGTATTCTAGTGACTGCTGTGAGTAAAGTGCTGTGAGATCCAGTGTATTCTAGTGACTGCTGTGAGATCCAGTATATTCTAGTGACTGCTGTGAGAGCCAGTGTATTCTAGTGACTGCTGTGAGAGCCAGTGTATTCTAGTGACTGCTGTGAGTGAAGTGCTGTGAGATCCAGTGTATTCTAGTGATCTGTACTCAAAGAACCTAATAGCTAATACAGATAGTGATTGGAAGGGCTGTACTCAAAGATACATTTTTAGACCATTTTTTTTTTCTTTTGAACAGGGTGCATATGGTCCATACTCCCCTGACGAATGCATCTCTTTACCTGTTTATACAAGTGCCGAGAGGGATCGTGTGGTGACCAACATCGATGTTCCCTGTGGAGGCAACCAGGACCAGTGGATCCAGTGTGGGGCAGCACTTTTTCTTAAAAATCAATAAATCTGAGGCAACACAGGACAATTTAGCAAAGTGACATTTATGGCAAAGTTTTACACGGAACATGTAGTCAGTCGGAAATGTTAGTTCAGAATATCTATAGTTAGTTTTTCTTGTTGTTGATCTCCTTGGATTCTTATTTTAATAAATGTGTAATATCAGCACTGTGTACCTTAAAGAGCAGGGAATTTGGTGGCATTAGCTGTTTTTATGAAAAATTTGCTTTTTCAGGAATTGAATTATTTAAAGTACTATATTTAAGAAATCAATAATATTTTGGGTATTTTGTATAATTGCATCTACTTATTTTAGTCTTCTGGGTTTAAATATGTGTACCACTCTCCTTTTAAGCATTGAACACTGTGCAAAGGCATAATGAATGAATTATCTTAACAATTAAACATGTCACTTTATTGTATATATTACATCATCATCATCATTCATTCCCTGATAATGCTAAGCAGGCACGGGCAGCCTGTTTATGGCGGTTCTCCAGTTGTTCCTACCCTGGGCAGTCCTATATGCTTGTGATATTGTCATACCCAAAGTTCCACAGTCTTCCTCTGTGCTGTCTGTCTATCCAGTGTTCTTTGTGCCTTCCTCTTCACCTTATCCCATGCACTCCTCCACACAGTGCTATCTTTGGGTGTCTGCTGTCATTCATTCTCATAACATGACCAAAGTATCTCAAGTGCTGTCGCTGTATCCTGTAGTTTACTTCCTTCTGTAGATGGAGATGTTTCTTTTTCTTTTTCTTTTGTTTTTTTTTTTTTTGTTTTTTCGAGACAGGGTTTCTCTGTGGTTTTGGAGCCTGTCCTGGAACTAGCTCTTGTAGACCAGGCTGGTCTCGAACTCACAGAGATCCGCCTGCCTCTGCCTCCCGAGTGCTGGGATTAAAGGCGTGCGCCACCACCGATTGCCTGTCTCTTCTTGTGACACCTAGAATCCTCCTGAGACCTGCCATCTCAAACACATTTAGTCACTGTTCTGAGGAGCGTTTCATTGTCCAGGTTTCAGAGTTGTAAAGAAGGCAGCTCAAGACGAGTGTCTCATATACTGTAATTTTGTTGTTGTTGTTGTTATGTCTCTTGCTGACCAAACCTTTCCTAGTGGCTGGAACTCAGCCCTCGCTATCCCTATCCACTCTTGACATCTGAAATAGATCCCCCCTTTGAACTGAGGTTTCCTCCCAGAGAGACAAAGTTGACTGCTTGAGGTTCTGATTCTTTATTACAATGTTAGAATCCTTGTGTGCTCTTCCCATGTGTTGTATCTCAGTCTGCTCGATGTTTGCTTTCATAGAAGGTTCTCACTGACTTCCACCACTCTACTTACCATGGCCTGCAGCTCATGTGGACTTTCAGCATGTAGTGATGTATTGTCTGTGAAACACAAGTTACTGATTCGCACACACCTACCTGCACGCCTGTCTGCTTATCCTCCAGGGCTGTTGCTATTGTTAACTCCAGAAACATATGAAAGAGCAGCGGTGAGAGGACACACCCCTGCATCACTCCTACGACTGTCCTAAACTCATCACTTAGTTCTCCACAGACTTTGACTGATGCAAAGGTGTCTTTATAGGCATTATTTAGTATTCTTAGGAGTTTCTCTGGGTGCCTGCATAACCTCATTGTTTCCCAAATTCCTTTCCTCCAGATGCTATCAAATGCCTTCTTGAAGTTGATGTAACAAACATGTCTTTTCCAAATTCTTCGTATTTTCTACCAGTTACCTCAAAGTGAAGACCTGATCAATTGTGCTCCTGTTAGCCCTGAGTCCGCACTGGGCCTTTGCTAGGTTTCCTCGGTTCAGCCCGTGTTCCTTTGCAGGATAATGGAGGAGACTTGCTGCTACGGCACAACAACTAATGCTCCTGTGATTTGCTTTCATTCTGTGGGAATCACTTTGTGTTCCCATATCTCTCTGAAGAGTCTGAGAAGTGCCTCACACCACAATCCTATTGTAGCCACCTCCAGCTCCTCCATTGTGATGTTAGATCTGAGTTTTGAAGAATAAAGATTCAAAATACATTTTGTTTGGAATGCTTCCACATACACACACACACACGTAGGAGTTATGGGCAGAAATTGAAGTTTGACTAAGTTAAATGTTAAGAATTGCTTGGATTTGATTTTGAGATTTTCTTTTCTAATTCCCAAAGAGAGATGGAGACTCATCCGAGAGAGCACAGAACTCATTGCATTTACCTGCACCAGGCACTTCTATTTTATGACCGTGCACTCATTTTCGTTTTACAAAGGTGAAAGCGTGAGTAGATTATTTGCTGCTCATTTGAAAAGGCGTGAACACATGGAGTCCCTTCGGGAAAGAGAGCACAAGAGAGGCAAGACTGCAGCAGTGCTTTGTTAACACGTGGTTGGGTTTTTTAAGAAGATCATTGGGTGTCGTAGAACATGCCATTAGTCATTAAGGCTGAGTTGGGAGGATCAGTTTCAAGGCTAGCGTAGGCTACAGGGGGAGAACCCGTATCAACAGGTTGTCTGCCTCACCTTAGTTTTAATTACATATGTGTTTGTATCACTGATCTATCTTGGAGTTTATGCATTTGTGGACTCAATGGCGACTGTTTTTAGACAATTCAATCACCAAATTTGTTTCAAAATAATTTTAGACAGCTCTCCTAAATCAACCTCAGCCTCAAAAGGTTGAGTTTATTGAGTAAGGTAGTTGAGATGACTAGTCAAAGAACACCAAAAATACTCCAGCAAAGGCAGAGAGAGTCCCTGGAGAGCATCCTGGGGCCACAGCAAAGGCAGAGAGCATCCTGGGGCCACATTTTCAAGAAGGGAACAGTTGTGTGTACTTCTGGAGTTAAAACCTTTTGCTGCTTTCTAACTGCCCTGCTGTGTATTATGAAGCTGGGTTCTCTAACATGTCAGCTTTAAACAAAAGCATTGTGAAGAGGTGAATTTCCTTACAAGCAATCGGGACCTCTATGGCATTAAATAGAAGGAGCCCAGTTAGGCTTCAAACACTCAGGGACATCTAAAGTTCATTCAGATGTTGAAACTGAAATTTTCTTACTAAGAGCTAAATCTATTCCAATAATTATTTGGTGGAAGGACAAAAAGTAAACCCAAGTAGGGGGGCGGGAAGCCAAGGAAGCCTATTGAGAACTGTCTGGACCTACACTGGTACTTCTTTGCACATACATATAATTGTCAGGCTATATATTTAACAGAAAACCAACCACTGGCCCAAATGTTATTCTACAATCATTTATTAGTTCTGGTTATTTGATGTCTAAATGTACTAAATATGTCAAAGCCCAGCACTGTGAACCAGGCGATGGCACACACAGTCACAGCATTTAGAGGTTAAGAGTAAGGTTCCAGATTCAAGACTAACATGGACTCCACAGTGCAACTTTACCAAAAGTAAATTAAATAAAAGGGTGATAAGTTTCAGACTAATCTTTAATGTGCCTCTTTTCTTAGAAGTGGATCTCTTGATGGTTAGAAAAAAGAATGCAAGCTGGGAACTGGGGAGATGGCCTTGTCAGAACAGGACCACACAAGTAGTAGGATATAAGTCCCATCCCCAGCACCCGTGTAAACTTCAGGCACAGTCATGTTTGCCTGTAGTCCCAGCCTGGGACTTCAGAGGCAGGAGGACCCCTGCGGTGTACTGGCCACCCAGTCTATCTCAATCAGGGAGCTCCGGTTCAATGACAGTCCTTCATCTCAATAAAGTGGAGAGAGAATTCAAGACGGCAGCAGCCCCCAGCCCCCAATGGGCCTCGGGAGCCCAAGGAGTCTGAGAGACCCATGGAGGCTTCAAAGGGTGATCGGCAGCAGGCGATGAGCCTGCAGAGCACACAATATCTGTGAAACAACAGAAAAATCCAAGTTTTGTGGGAAGATGCTTTTAAAAAGTAGTTTCATAGGATTGGAGAAAAAGACGGTGGAATGGAGCAGTGAGCAAAGCTAGTGACATGGTGACTGTTGTCTAACAGACATGGTGCATGTCCTTGCACACTGGCCTTGTCTCTGCTTGCTAGGCCCGTGTCAGCACTCCACCTGCTGCGGCAGCCCTGACTGCTCCTGCTGCTGCTGCTCCTGCTCCTGCTGCTGCTGCTGCTGCTATTGCACTGTTTGCCCTGCCAGGGAGAGGAGAGTGCAAGGCTGCAGTGCAGTTGGCAAGCTGCAAGAAGGACCAGTGCCAAGGGCTGAGTGATATACAGTGGCCTGGAGCTCATGAAGGTACACACAAATGCACACAAACACACACACACGCGTGTGCACACACATGCATATACACACACACACACACACATGCTGCCCAACCATAGGACTGCCATGACTGAACAAGGTATCTGAGATGAAGAATGGTTTATTTTCTGGATTAAGTCTCCCCAAAAAGACTTCTTTGTTATCCCTGGAGACCATATTGGTGTCCACGGTGTTGTTCTTAAAAAACAATGAGAGAGCGGCTACAAATGGTTCCCGGGCGGGCTGGCGGTGCCCGCCATGGGAAAGCGGCTACAAAGGATCCCCGGGCGGCTGGCGGAGGGAGCCCGCCATGAGGGCGGCTACAGGAGGGCACGCTTCCTTGGCCCACAGTGGCGGCAGGTAACAGACACGTAAACACAAGAAATAGCCATAAGTATTTATTAAGGAAGGGGGAGAAAGAAAGACAGAGAAGAGATAAAAGGAGAGAGGAGAGATAAAAGGAGAGAGAGACAGAGAAAACGCGTGCGCACGCCAAGGAAGCAGAAAGAGAGAGAGGGAGGTCCCAAGATGGCGATGGGCGGGTCAGAGGTTATGGGAGTGGGCGTGGCTAGGGCAGGGACCCAAGAATATCACACGCTCTGTGCTGCTACCATTTTGATGACCATAGTCAGTGCTGCTGCCACTGGCAACCGTGTTCATGTTTAAGGCCCATGATGCTGCCAGGGACCAGGATGATTTCTGTGATCTAAGACACCACTAGGAAGTTTCACCAGAGAAGACTGCTCGGACAGTTTAAGCTAACTACACGGGGTATCCGGGATCCCAGAGTAGCCCTGAGACTTTCTCAGGGTAAGCTTTTAAGCACAAAAACCATGCCTGGGTTGACATGCTTCAATGAACAAGAACAGTTACCCAGCAGTGGAACGACAAAAGCCACAAAGCAAGGGTAGGGCCTTTAGAGACTTTCCTACAACTCTATGGATTTTGATGGACGAGGCCTTTGTTTATTTTTGGCAGGTGGTGCTGTCTATGTGCTGAATTTTGCAGCCTGAATGGCACTTCCTTCATGGAATCAGTTGTATTATGGTCTCAGGGCCTACAAAGGTCTGAGACCCTGTTGCAAAACCATGTTGAAGTCTATGATCTCTGCTGCTTCAACTGCTATGGGCAGGGAACCTGCTTTGCCGTGATGACGTCAGGCTCATCCTGAGAGGGAGAGACATGGGAGGCTTCTGTCACAACCCCATTGTCGGAGCCCATTTGGGTTCAACACAGACTTTCTAACTTGGCTGGAACGGAGTCGCGAGGAATAATGAGACACAGCTTACACCGTCATCATGGAAAAAGGCCATAATGCTCCTTTATTGTCCCAACATCTTATATATCCATCCCAAATGAGCGGGAACACACAAAGGCTGTTGCCTAGGCAACCAGGTGCCTGGACTTTAGTCACGTCTGCATCTAGTAGCCAGGTAGGTCCCGAATTAGCATCTCTATAAGATAACCTTCAAATTGCATAAGGAAAGAAACCCCAAACATCCTGACCAGTTACAGTCAACACCTCTTCTCAGGTAATACACACTTAAACAAAGGAAGCTAGGAGCAAGGCATCCTGGCTTTTGTTAAGGGCAGACAGCTTGTCTGCAGAGCTATGTATCAGCTCAAACCGGGGCAATGGCTTTTGTGGCATATCGAAATATGCGCCCACACCCCATCCCCCAAAGACAAAGTCCACACAAGAGACCTTTGAGAGAGTCCTTAAAAACTGAGATAAAGATGCTGAAGTGTGGCTCTTCACAGTTGATGGTTTCTGGTGGGGTTGCTGGTAGGACTCAGTTTTCTTTAAGGGAATGTCCTTTGGGAGTTTGACCATGTTCCAATGAGTATATGGGAAACACAATGGAACTTGGTTTGGGTGGGGAGCAATGGTGGGAGGGTGAACCTGAGGAAGTGAGGGGAGTGTGATGGGATGTATTATACAAAATTCCCAAATTAATAAAAGTACTGTGATGGGAAAAATAAAAAGAAATGTTTATTAAAGTTAAGGTAGAAAGAGATTACAGAAGACTTAGAGATCAACCCTGGCCTGCACATACACATACATGTGCCATACCTGCACATACATATCCACATGCACATGTTCACAGACCTGCACATGCACATACATGTGCCATACCTGCACATACATGTTCACAGACACAGGAAAATTTGGGAGTTCTAATAAAAGATCAGAAGACAATGAAAATATCAGCATAAACCATCTGGAAATAATAATGGAATCCAATTATCGCTTAATGCAAATTTTTATTTTAAAGTCATTGACACATATTTTAGATGTGTCAATAATAATAATAAGCTAACTTGCTTATTATTTAACCACAGATAATTCTGCTCCCAGTAGAATCCTTACAAGATTGTCTTACAGTTCTCAAGGTTGGAGGCGTGCATTTAAAAAGCACAAGTCTTTGGGTTGTAAGTCATTACTTGCCTCAAATTTTATCCCCTAGCTCCCGCACAGCAACATTGAACTCACTGACTGAGCATGTTCAAAATCGGAACTCTGACACTGCCGCTCTACCATCTATAGGTTGTTCCTGTGCTTCCCTTTTGGAGAAAAGAATACGAACAAGAATTGGCCACTCCAGACCTGCCTTAAAGATCCCGGTCCACGGGACAGCTTCTTTTTGCTTTCTTTCTTTAATCCCCTTCCTAGAACAAACACTGCCGCTGTGAATTTGAGACTGGGTTTTGTACCCCAGGGGCCCCCTGTGGCCTCATTTGTGCTACAGGGATTTTGCAGCCTTCAGTGGACTGAAGGACACACACTAGTGAGCTGA